CATAGAATCCAACTCTGCATGAACTTCTCATAAACCTGCCATCTGAAAATCAGGGTCTGAGTTGACCTAATCAGGTTGTAATGCAGTCTACAGTGCTGTGTTCATGGCATGTTTCAGATACAGGTAACCAGAGATGCCATTTTACAGCAGGGCAGAGCACAAGGAGGATCTGACTAGTGTACTAATGCTGAACAGTCTAAAGGTGGTGAAATGACAGGAAGCTGTAGTGCTAAAGACTTTCATAGTGGTATAACCTCCTGACTTCTTTTGACAAGTAAATGTTTGTATAGACTTCAATTTTAATTTGCATGTTCTGCTTTAAAGAAAACACCACATAAGTCTATTTTAATTTGCTTGGAGGTTAGCAATGGAAAAAATACAAAATATATATTTATGTTTCCGTACTTTTAAGCTGAAGCTTGTAAAATGCTCTTGTTAATTGGTTGGTCTGTCACCGGTTCAGTCCCCTACACCAGTAGCAGAATTTTGGAGCTGTCCCCAGATGGAGTTTCTAATCTATACTTGCCTGTGCACTCCTCCACCCTTCTGCTAAAGGGCACAGAGACTTACAAAACACTTTGGGCAGCAAAGCCAAAGCTCGCCTACCCAACGCTCTCAGGCTGCACCTAGAAAGGAGTTAAGTGCAATTGAAAAACACCTTTATTTATTATTGCGGTAACTAGAACAAACTGTCCAACACCTTTATTCAAGTCTTTTGAATTCTGTGCAATTTGTGATATTGTATTTAAAATAGTGAAAATGTATCGGTGCTAAGATGATGATGGTTATCTTTCTGTCAGCTTGGCTGAAAAAAAATTGATACATAGTTTAACATGGTGTTACCATGCCTGGTGTTAGGGAGAAATACTGCTGTATTTATAGTAGTACCCTTTATACATAAAGCCTATTTCCAATTTTGTAGCCTACCTACTTTATATTTGTTACATATTCTCCTTCACATGGCATAAATAAAATAATATAACATTTCTGCCCACGTTCTTACTCGCTGGTTTCAAAAATGCAAGTTTTCCCCCAGGAGCTGGGGAGTTCATGTTTTTACCATAAATAACCCTGTCTACTGTGCTAGCAGACCTCATTATCAGTTGTAAACTAGATTTGAACATTGTTCAAAAGCGTTAAAAATCTTGAGACTTGGGGTCTACATTTTATGTTAATGACAGTGTGTCCCCACTTTGCCTACTCCACCTTCACTTTGAAATTGTTCAGAATAGCTTGCAGTCCTATGTATAAACCTGCTCCAAAGAAACAACTAGAAAGGTAAGAAATATTTTTAGGTATGCTCTGAGAATGGGAACACGCAACAAGCATAGTGGGGTTTTCTTACATTTGACTGTAAAAGTGGAATTACATTTTCAAAATAGTTTGTGTGTTTTTGCTTTTTGTTGATGTGAATTAATTTATAAAGGCTTTTCATATCTAGCACTTTTTTTTTAGGAGAATGTATAGAAAATGATCTCACCATAATAAAGCATATTGCAGTGCCCTTGCATTTGGTCTGTATGTTTTACACTGTGACATGCTCATCATATTGGATTAGCTTCTGCTAATGTATGCCCTATCCTTAACGCTAGAGCTATAAATCTAACGCAGAATATTTTCAACACAAGCACAGCCCCAATTTCCATATCTTTTTACTGAAGAAGCTGCTGATGTTCAAGGTCAGAGTCTTGGGACTCTGTATCTTTGGTACATCATAGTTGCAAAGATAGCTGTGTTGCCCCTATCTGCACTCCCCTTAGGAGTATTTACAGAACCTCTGTACTGTAACTACTGAGGTTGAGCTTTTATTGTGGAGGACAGACCTTTCTGCCCATATGTATTGGATGTACTAACTTCAGGCTTTGTGGTTGGTTTTGTGTGGCTGTTTGATGTTTTTCTTTTTTTTTTTAAGAAGCGTCAGAAAACATAATTTTTTTTTTTTTTGAATAAGTTTCAACTTTGACAGCACTACATGTTGATACATGTATTAAGGGACTCCTAGATTTAACAGATACAGCCTAATGAACAAAGTTACAGTACACATAACCTCAAATAACAAGTGATGCAAAGTATTCTGGGTAATAGGCAGGTATACTATAATGCTTTATATCAGGGAATGAATATTATGGTGAACACCATTGGTGTAAAAATCCCCTACACCTTCCTTCACTAAACACATGTAGAGGGCTAAGGCTTATGGGAACCTGATGACAAGCAGAGGAGTCAGTAAGGGAGGAGGAAAGTTCAGGTCAGGAAGGAAATTGTAGCGAAAGAAGTCATGTTTTATGTGTGTGTGGATTCTTTTGTGGATGATAGTAAAAGCTGAAACTTAAAGGATAGAGATTACCTTAACCAGAAGGAATCGTCCTGGCTCTCAACCCTTCTGAGTTTCCTCAGTGATTTTCTTAGTTCCTAAGAAACTTCCTAAGAAACTTTAAGTCTGTATGTAGGCAACCTAAGGAGACCCGAGACCCTTCGAAACGTTAAATACCCTTTATAGGACAATGCCTTTATTGGATGGATGCACATTCATTTTTTGCTTTTGTTAGTTTGAAATACTACATTGGATCAGACTTGGGTGTTTGTTCTGCTGGACAGACATATGTTTTGTTTGCTGTGCCGTTGAGTGTTCTGCTGCCCGCCTCAATTTTCCATTCCCACTGTTCATTAAATCTTTCCTCCACACAGGGACCTTCTTTAGAAGATTTTAGTCACCTTCCTCCAGAGCAGAGACGTAAGAAGCTGCAGCAAAGAATTGATGAACTAAACCGAGAGCTTCAGAAGGAAATTGATCAAAAGTAAGTGACATTGGGACTTGCAAACCCTCTATTATACCTCCCTGTGTTTCCTTATCAAGGGACTGCCTCATATTTGAAAGTTTAAAGGCTATTTCTGATCTTACTGGTTTCGGTACATTGAAGTTAGACAGCAAAACCTTAGGATTTCTTCAAAGTAATGCTAAGTGCGTTGTCATTTTTTTTATATTGAAGCACTCCAGGTACACTTAGCGCTAGCTATGTGACTAAACTGAAAATTCTTTTAACCTCTGTACTAATTTCAAACTGAAAGGACTGTCATATTGAGTTGTAATATTACATTGCTGTGTTTTGGTTTTGCCCTAATTTTGCATCAATGAAAGTAATGGACTTGTGTGGAAAATTAGTATAAAACTGACAGACTAGGTAAAAAGGTTCCATGATTATAGCTGAATGGTATATATAATTTTTGTTGAGCAATAGCAGAAATAAGGGTTGTAGTTTAATATTTTGTCTGACACTAGCCTCATGAGCAGTAACACCCATTGCTTCAAAACAATCATATCCACTCAATCCATAAAAAGGGGAAAATTTGTATTTATGGTTATGTATTCAGCACAGTGTACAGTGCCTATGCAGGGCAGTTATAGGAAGTTGGCATCTCACCAATACATTTGATTTTTAACAGAAACGGCTGCTGCTATTCACATTTGCTAAACTGCAGATGTGAACAAATCTGAAAATCAGTCAAGTTTATCTTAATAGGAGTTCTGCATAATCCATTGTTCTCAATTACCATCGTGTATGGGTGGTAGATTTGCGTGTAGCTTCATCTTCTTTGCACCAGTCATATTTAAACTTTCAAAGCAGGTTGGAACATGAATATTGGCAGTGAGAACCATCTTATAGCGTTTACAGTAGCGTGTTTGGAATTTCCTCTCTATTACAAGCATGCTTGATCAAAAACTGATTGGTGTGGACTGCTGCAAGACTACAATGCATGGAAGTACTTCTGTGTTCTCAATATGAATTTAAGGCTTTATTTTCTGTATTGCCTGGAGTCTGCCCTTTATCTGGTAACTCCATTTAGATGCACATAATCACGTTATTTGATTTTAGTTTGCCACAGGTATAGACCTGAACTGTTCTGTTTCCTCTTTCTTACCATAGAGAGGCCCTAAATAAAATGAAAGATGTGTACGAGAAGAGCCCACAAATGGGAGACCCTAGCAGCTTGCAACCAAAAATATCCGAAACCATGAGTAACATTGAAAAGCTAAGAATGGAAATTCATAAAAATGAGGTTAGTATGGCAAATCAATATTTATAAGTAGATGTTGGATGCATTTGTGGTGTCATTGGTCAATGTTCACAGTGGATATTATGCTTGGTTGTTATGGAATAATCAAGTCTAAAGAGGAAAACCTAAACTTCACCACTACATACAATCTCAACAGATGCATTACTTTTTAGATTTTGTACACACAGTGCATTCAGAAAATATTCAGACCCCCTTCACTTTTTCAATTTTATGTTGCAGCCTGATACTACAGTTTTTAAATTCTTTTTTTCTTTCCTTATTAACCTACATTCCTTACCCCATAATGGAAAAGTAAAAACAGAATTTTATAAATGTCTGTGAAAAATAAAAAACTGAAATATCACATTGGCATAAGTATTCAGACCCTTTGCAACCCAACACTTACAATTTAGCTCAGGTGCCTCCCATTTCTCGATTGCTGCTGAGATGTTTCTACACCTTGATTGAAGTCCACCTGTGGTAAATTAAATTGATTGGACATGATATGGAAAGGCACACACCTCCTATAGAAGGCCTCACAGCTGACAATACATACTGTATCAGAGCAAAAGCCATGAGGTCAAAGGAACTGCCTGCAGAGCTCAGGGACGGGATTATTACAAGGCACAGATCTGGGGAAGGCTACAATAAAAACTTCTGCTGCACTGAAGTTTCCCAAGAGCACCACGGCCTCCATAATTCTCAAATGGAAGAAGTTTGGCACAACTAGGACTCTTCCAAGAGCTGGTCGCCCCACCAAACTGAGCAATCGGGGGGGGGGGAAGGGCCTTAGTAAGAGAGGTGACCAAGAATCCGATGGTCACTCTGATTGATCTCTAGAGATCCTGTGTGGAGATGGGACAAAGTTCCAGAAGGACAACCATCTTTGCCGCCCTCCACTGATTTGGCCTTTATGGCAGAGTGGCTAGACGGAAGCTTCTCCTCAGTGCAAAACACATGAAAGCCCGCTTGGAGTTTGCAAAAAAGCACCTGAAGGACTCTGACTGTGAGGAACAAGATTCTCTGGTCTGATGAAACCAAGATTTAAATGTTTGGCCTCAATTATGTCTGGAGGAAACTAGGCACTGCTCATCACTTGCTGCCACCACCATGCTTCACTGCTGGGATGGTACTGGGCATCATGCTGTGGGGGTGTATTTTAGCAGCAGGGACTGGGAGACTGGTCAGGGTTGAGGGAAAGTTGAATGGAGCAAAGAACAGATATCCTCAGTGAAAACCTGTTCCACAGCGCTCAGGACCTCAGACTGGGCCGATGGTTCACCTTCCAACATTACAACGATCCTAAGCAAACAGCCAAGACAACACAGGAGTGGCTTAGCGACAACTCTGTGAATGTCCTAGAGTGGCCTAGCCAGAGCCCTGACTTAAACCCTGTTAACCATCTCTGGAGAGACCTAAAAAATGACTGTCCACAATGGTCCCCATCCAACCTGACTGGGCCTGAGAGGATTTGCAAAGAAGAATGGCAGAAAATCCCCAATCCAGGTGGCAAAGCTTGTTGCCTCATACCCAAAAATTCTCAAGGCTGTAATTGCTGCCAAAGGTGCTTCACCAAAGTACTGAGTAAAGGGTCTGAATATTTAAGTACATGTGATATTTCAGTATTTTTTTTTAAAATAAATTCAATTCAATTTAATAAATTCACAGACCATTCAAACATTCTGTTTTCACTTTGTCATTATGGGGTACGGAGTGCAGATTAATTAGAAAAAAAATAATTTAAGCAACTGTAGTATCAGGCTGCCACATAAGATTAAAAAAGTTAAAAAGGGTTCTGAATGCACTGTACTCTCGCCACCTTGCTTCTCTATTAGTGGGATTTACAAGTGTCCCATTGCACTCCAGACTGGAATCCCTTAGTAATATACTGGCAGGGTGCTGTGTGAGAAGCGAATGGCTCCGCACAGATCCAAGTACTAAGTAGTCGCCCGTTACTGAATTGAAAAGGAAGTTAACTTTTTTTTTTATTGGTCATTCTTTAACCAGTTGACATCCGCGGTTTTAAAGGAGAACTATGGGGTCAGTGTTTTTCCCCATAGTTCTCCTTAGGGTAAGAGGAGGACACAAACTAGCGTCCTCCCGTTACCCTAAGCTCAGTATACCGCAAGCTCCAGCATGCGATGTGGCACCGGGCGCGTATTTACGTTTATATCTGCGTAAACGTGGGGGAGTTAAACATTTTGGGGTTTTTTTTTTACTTTATTTATGTGACTTATTTTATTTTACTTTTTTATATGTGACTTTAATTTTTTTTATTTTTATATATATTTTTTTGCACTTATTGTTATTGCTATTATATAGGGGGATAATCCCCCTATATAATAGCAAAGCCACACTGACAGGTCCTCTTTATGGAGACATTAGGGGTCTCTGGGACCCCTAATGTCACCTGTGGACCCCAAAAGAAGCTGATGAAGCAGAGATCTGCTTCATCAGCTTCTTTTCTCTGGCTTTAGCAGCCAGATGACTGACGGGTGAATGCGGAAGTGATGTAATACACATCACTTCTGCATTCACAGCCCGGAGGAAGGTCAGCAAGGAGCTGATCTCCCTTCCTCTTCCTCCTAATGCCCCCCCCGACCCGGCAGACGGCGGGGGGGCGACCGAAAAAGCGAGCACATGTAGACGACCGGCAGGCTATAGAGCCGCCGATCGTCTATATGTGAAACACCCGGTAACGTGCTTGCATTGGTCGGGTCTTTTCTGCCCGTGCGCGCCCGCAGAAAAAAAATGCCATCCGGAGACTGCAACCCGCCAATGCTGCAGTGCCGTCCGTCCGTTTTTTTACAATGGGCGGACGGCAACTGGTTAAGCTAACCTGTACTAAAAACTAACTGCAGAAGTTAACAGTAATCTGAGAATGCCAGAAGGTACGTTTCCTTATTTTCTAGACCACCTCTAGAGTCATTTTCTAGAAAAACCTAGATGCACACACCTAGATGACACCCATGTGTAGGCTATCTCTAAACTTTAATACCATTAGCAACAGCAACACCTAGATTTTATTAGTTTATATTGTTTGAAAGGCTTCCAGAGAAAAAGGTTTAACGAATACATATTTAATATGTGTGCTTGGTCTTCTGTTTATTCAGCTTTTATATAAAGTCCTTTTGAAAATGTTTCCGTTCAGTAAGTTTTAGAAGTCTGCTGTGTGATTCTTTGCTTTGTTAATTATCGTGTAAGCAAAACAACCCATAAAAAGTGGAAAACATGTTAAATTATGCAGAAGCTGCATTCAAAAATGCATGCTACTTATATCTACAAACCTTTCATCATTGCATGTTTCCAAAGTACATGATTAAAGAGTCTGCCACAAAAAAATAAGTATCATTAATTTGAGTCTACACATACTGGGATGTGACTTGCGTGCACAACATAATCGCTGCTTTTAAGGTTTTTGTTTAGTTCTGAATTTACTTTACAAAGCTTGCCAGGTAAATTTTCGAAATATGATTAGATCCTTGCTGTATATAATTACAAATAATCCTTTGTTTAATTATCATTATCCTGTGCAACTGTAACATTTCAAATTGAGCATACAGAGTGTCTGCACTGGCTGTTGAGAGGTATTACAGTAGTGCGGATTGACACATGGCCTTGTCTACAGTCTCTTCCTTTGTGTCATTTAACGCACTGTGAGCAGGCTGGGGAGGTGTTTAGGCAGCACCAGAGATCACTTACAGGTTAGTGATGTCCAGGTTTATGGTCCAGCAAAAATATTTTGCTGTATTTATTACCCTGGTGGGGTTTTTATTTTTACAGTTAATATCGGGGTATTGATACGTTACTTAGGTTTACATTTTTGGACGTGATCAGTTCATTATTATTCGTGTTGCATAGTTTTTGCAAGGTCTGTTTTTGGACAAATAACGATTACATACTGGTACTGCAGTGCAAACACTTACAGAACAATCAATAACTAGGTGCCTAAATTATTTGTTATTGATGGTGCTCTATGCAGTGTGCATATTAGGCCACTATATTTTGATTACTCAAACATGGCATCAACAATTATATCACCATATTTGTAAATTAATTGGCTGCTTAAATATAGCAACCACATCATCAGCCATTTGGATATTTTCAAATTCAAAAGGTTGAATGGAATCTGTTTATTCAGTCATTGTCTAACTTCGTCTGAGTTTTCTCGGTTTCCATAGACATCAAGTATACATATTTACACATTCCTATGCTTTTGAGTCATCCAAGTTTTCTTCGCTTTGCTGTAGGCAAACTGCATCATCACTTTGTGGCCCTTCCCTCTGGTCTGGCCTTGACTCCAAGGGATTTCACCTTGGAGTCTACGATCCGGGTCTTCACCAAGAAGGGCATTCTGAATTTTGGATACTTGGATGATCTTTTGCTTTGCGAACAGTCTCCTCTGTTTTCCGGATACAATCTGATAATTCCATGTCAGTGCCCTACATCCATCAGGGAAGCTCTAGGAGCTTCTCGGCAACCAGGGAAGTGTACCTAATCTTCGGTGGAACTTGATGTCCCAGTGATTTTCCACGGTGCACATTGCGAGAGTAGGGAACTGACAGACTTCTCAACAGACAATGTCTAGATCCGGGCAAGTGGTCTGTAAATTCAGAGGTGTTTTTAACAACTTTGGAGGGTCCTGGATGTGGATTTTCTAGTTTCTTGTCACAACAAGAAAGTGGACAGATTTGTATCCAGAGCAAGGAATCAAACAATGAATGCCTTGTTTGCTTTCCAAGGTAGAACACAGAGGAGTTACTGTCTTTCATGAGGCTTCAGATTGGCTTTGCAGTGTGTGGCATGCTGATCTGGTTCATCTGTTGGTAGACGAGTTGTGGCTTCATGCAGATTGATCAGATCTTTTATCTCTAGGACCCTGCTTCTTGGTTGCTGGCTTTAACGGCTTGACTGTTAAAACCCAGGTGTTGAAATACAGAGGAGTTTTGGATTTTGTTCCAACTTTCGTAGATCTACATATTCTGTCTATCCTTCAATCGGGTTGACCAATGTTTAGCTCTTAGTACTGTTAAGTGTCAGGTATCTGCCTTATCTTTCATTTTTCAACGTCCTCTTGCTTCAAATTTCTTGTTTCATAATATTGCAGGAGTTACAAGTATTGTTCCTCCTGTTAGGTCTCCTCTTCCTCCGTGAGACTTGAACTTAGTTTTATCTACTCTACAAAAACCTCCTTTTGAGCCAATTTTAAATATTTCTTTGTTATCCAAAAAAAGATTGCCTTTTTGGTGGCAATTACCTTGGCTAGAAGGGTTTCTTGGCTAGAAGGGTTTCTGCTTTGACTTGTAGAGAACCCTATTTGGTTCTTCATAAGAACAAGGTTGTTTTAAGACCTAAGGTTTCATTTTTCCCAAGGTGGATTCGGCCTTTTTAAATGACTCAATAGTTTTACCTGCACTTTGTCCGCCTCCTGTTAATCCTAAGGAAATTTCTCCCAATTGCTTGGATGTTGTGTGGTCTATCAGTGTTTCTTTCAGCAACAGCTTCCTTTAAGATGTACGAATTCTTTGTTTGGCCAACCAGAAGGTCCTTGAAAGGTTGTTTAGCTTCTAGATCAATTATTTCTAAGTTGTTTAGTCAGGTTGTATTTCAAGCTTAAGAATTGTGGGTTAAGGTACCTCATTTGCCTATTTCTGCTCATTCTACTAGAGCCACTAGTTCTTCTTGGGCTTTTCATAATCAGGCTTCAGTTGCTCAGATTTGTAAAGCTGCAACATGGTCTTCTGTGCACACTTTTGCAATGTTGATGTTTCTTCCTTCTCTAAAGCTATTTTTGGGAGAAGAGTTCTTCAGGTGGCTGTTTGATTGTTTAACAGTTTCTTTTTTGTTGCTCTGTTTCTTCTAGAGGTTATGGTGCCCGCCCCATTGTTTTGGCTACTTTTGGATGTCCCTACCTCCTCAAAATTCTTCAGAGCTGTGTTCTTCAATGGACGATATAGACAATGGGATTTTGTTCTCACAGTAAAATACTTTTCATGGAGTTCATTGTGTAACACAGCTCCCTCCCCTCAATTCCTTATGTACTGCTTGCTGCAGGTGGGAGGTGTTATGATCTTTAAACCTTTCCCTTGTACAGATTGTCTCGCACTTCCAGTTTGAGTTTGTCCCCAGAACAGAAAAGAGGAAATATCTCTAATGGAGTTTCAG